TAAGATGATTACGGGTTTGATGATCTCTAATTGAAAGAATGTAAAGAAATGTTGTAAAAGAAAGAATTTCGATTCATATTTATAATGGACAGTTATAATGAAATGAAGCTAGAGAATATTTAGAAAAATTTATACTTTAATAATAAGCTCAAATAAAATTGACATGAATGGTAAGTATAGACTTAAAAACAAAAAGCTCTAGATTTTAAAAGGTTTGAACAGAGTTGGGAAAAGGTCTAGTCATCATTTTTGAAATTCGATGAAGCAAGATGGAAATCTGAGACTCTTTTGAATGAAAAATAAACAATCAGTATTTTATAATTTTTGAAGGATGATGAGTTAATTGCTTTAAAAAACAATGAAGCTATAAGAAGCTTGAGCATAAATTTACAAAAATTATGGAGTTTTAAAAAGTCTGAAGATATGATGAAGTCAGTGAATCTAAATAAATTAGTGGAAACTCCATATATGATGGAAATTATAATGTAAGTGTTGCCCAATATGATTCTTAAAGCAAATGAGATTATTAACATTAAATAAACCTTCTTGAAGAATTTTTCAAAGATGTTGAAAGAATTCTACATAAGTAAATACAGAATTCAAATGTATAAATCACAACAGAAAAGGCATCTGTATGAGTCAATAAATGAAGTTAATAAAGAATCTCAAGCAGAAATTTACGCTGATTATGTTGAATACTTGGAAGTTACTCATAACGATTTACAATACTTAGAAATTATTGATTATCATTAAATTGCTTTTGAAACTTGGAAAATTTGGAAGAAAATTCGATTCTTTAATAATTGTAAAATTCTTAAGAATCAGAGGGAGTGCATAAATAACTTTAAACAATATTTAATCTTTTGCTACAAAATTAGATATTATAGAAAATAAAAATTTAATAGGAAGAAATACTCTAATTTGGTAATGATGCATTAAAAGATTACAATCTTACAATTTATGACTTTTATTGTGAGTTTATCAATTATTACTACTTCAAATAAATCGAAAAATCGAGAAACTTAGGAAAATCTATATATGCTGATCGTTTTATGCATGATCTATTAGAATACTCAATTAGATTAGCAAAAACAATGAGTAAGAATGAAATGACTTAAGTTTAATATAAGTAGCAAGGATTTTTATATTAAAATGAAGAACAGAAGACCAATCGCTAAATGAATTTTTTAATTATGATGATTAAAACGGAACTTATAAAAAAGATATTAGAAGTTGCTCACTTGTCTAATAAAAAGGTGCTAATTTTTAATTTATCCATAAATCAATATAAGAGTTCTTGATTGCAGCTGATTTATATGAAGTGTTAGTTGGATCAAAAGATTATGATATATAAATATTGAATACTATATTAGAAATATTGTCAAAAGAGAATAATCAAGATTAGGATTGCTTAAAGTTTATGGAAAATATAGATGTAAAATATTCTTAGACTTTGAGTTAAATTGAAAATATATCACTTTTTGAAAAATAAAAATAATTTGATACTTTCAAAAAGACAATTAAATCAATTACTCATTTGATCGAAACCATTCAAGAACATGATATTAATTCTGTTAATTATTCCACTGAAACCTACACTGAAACAAGGTAATACCTCATTTAAAAAATATAACAAGAGGTTAAAATAATTGAATTTTTGAAATTCTTAATACATCTTACAAAAATTGATACAAATTTTATTATAAGTGGATCTAATTCGCTTAACATATTGGTTGAAATGAAAGTTGATCTAACAAACTAAAATTTTGAAAATATAAGAATAGAAAATACTAATGTATTTGGAGGTAATTTTGCTAAATGCAATTTATCTAAGTCTTAATTTAAGAATGTGAATATCAATGGAATAAATTTAAATGGAGCTTAATTATTTGGATGTAATTGGTAAGAATTATAAATAAACGATTTATATTAATTGGATGGTGATGATGATTGTATCAACTCAGTTTGTTTCTCTCCTGATGGAAATACATTAGCTTCTGGTAGTTATCAAGAAATTCGTCTATGGGATGTCAAAACAGGATAATAAAAAGCCAAATTAGATGGTCATAGTAA